ATCTATCTATCATCTATCTCTGTCTATATCATCTATCATTTATCTCTATATCTGTGTCTGTCTATCTAATCTCTCTCTCTCTCTCTCACTCTCTCTCTCTATGTGTGTGTGTGTGTGTGTCTATCTAACATCATCCATTTACCATGTCTGCCTGCCTGCCTGCCTGCCTGCCTATCTCTCTCTCTCTCTCTCTCTCTCTCTGTCTGTATCATCTATCTGTCTGTCTGTCTGTCTATCTAATCTATCTATCTGTCTGTCTGTCTGTCTGTCTGTCTATCTATCTATCTATTCTATCTACCTACCTATCATCCATTTACCATCTGTCCGTCCGTCTATCTATCTATCTATCTATCTATCTATCTATCTATCTATCTATCTATCTATTCTATCTACCTACCTATCATCCATTTACCATCTGTCCGTCTATCTATCTATCATCTATCTATCTATCTATCTATCTATCTATCTATCTATCTATCTATCTATCTATCTATCTATCTATCTATCTATCTATCTATCTATCTATCTATCTATCTATCTATCTATCTATCTATCTATCTATCTATCTTCATCCATTTACCATCCATCTGTCCGTCCTTCCATTTATCTATGTCTATCATCATCCATTTACTGCCTGCCTGCCTGCCTAGCTATCCATTTACCTATCATCCATTTACCGTGTCTGTCTATCTGTGTCTATCTGTCTGTCTGTCTATCTATGCCATGGTGGAGCAGTGGTTAGAATTCATTATTGCAGGCTAATTCTGCCTACTGCCAGCAGTTCGATCCTGACCGGCTCAAGGTTGACTCAGCCTTCCGTCCTTCCCAGGTCGGTCAAATGAGGACCCAGATTGTTGGGGGGGAGGGGGCACCAGGCTGACTCTGTAAGTCTCTTAGAGAGGGCTGTGAAGCACTGTGAAGCAGTATATAAGTCCAAGGGCTACTGCTATTGCTATCTGCAGAGAAGGCATCAAGTGAGGGGAGGTGGACTGTCCAGGCTGGCCTCCATCTTCCAGGATGGGTCCAGAAAGCTTCCCAGCTCCCTCCCAAGATCTGGGGAACCCTTACCTGCACCATGACGTTGTCACTGGAAGCAGCTTCCTGGGCTTCATTGATCCACCGCTTGACCACATCGTAGTTGACCTTCATCATATGCTGGAAAAGAGGGCCAAGAATCAAGAATCTCCACTGTGACTCAGTTGAAAACTGATCTGGATTAATGTCCATCCTGAATCACGTTAAACAAGTGAGGTGTTCTGGGGGGTTGTAAAAGCCTGGAAGTTGAAGGACAGGAGGAATTCATCTGGAAGTGGTTCCATCTACGAACCAAGAGGATTTGGTATCTGAAATCCAAAACTAGGGATGTTGCAAAACCTACTACCGTGTTTTCCCCAAAATAAGACATTTTTCCTCCAAAAGACACATTAGGGCTTATTTTCCGGTTAAGGCTTATATTTGGGGAAATAAGGTACTAAATGGGTCCATCTGGCTGAACAATCTTAACTGGGGCTTATATTTGAGGAAATACGGTACCAAATGTGTCTCTCTGGCTGGACCATCTTAATGGGCTTATTTTGGGGGTGGGGCTTATATTTGGGGAAATACGGTACTAAATGCGTTCCTCTGGCTGGACCATCTTAACTGCTATGCTGGCTGAGGAATTCTGGGAGTTGAAGTCCACGAGTCATAAAAGAGCCAAGGTTGCCTAACCCCTGGTATAAACAGTCCTTGACTTACGACTGTGATTGAGACTAGAATTCCCACTGTCAAGCAAGGCGCTTGCTCAACTATCTTGCAAATGGTTCCTAAGGGAATCACTGCAGTTGCTGAATGCTGAATCCCATGGGCGTTAAGCAGATCTGGCTTCCCTCATTGATTCTGCTTGTCGGAAGTACAAGTCGGTGGCCGAGAACTCGAATTTAGATCACAGACTCAAAAGTTCTGGCCTTCTTTCCTTACCAAGGATGACACCAAGGCGGAACTGGAGACGCTGGGGACTTTGTCGACTATGGCTTGCTTCATGTATCTCTCGATGGCCTGGAGCATCGTTCCCTGGGAAAGCGGGAAGAAGGGAGGTGAGGCAGACTTCCCAATGGCACACTGGCCAGAAATGAAAGAAGGTAAAATTACACTGAAGACTAGAAGACCTCCAAGGTCCCTTCCAACTTATTCTATTCTATTCTATTCTATTCTATTCTATTCTATTCTATTCTATTCTATTCTATTCTATTCCATTCCATTCCATTCCATATTCTATTCTATTCTATTCTATTCTATTCTATTCTATTCTATTCTATTCTATTCTATTCTATTCTATTCTATTCTATTCTATAGACTACCTGTTAAAAGAATCTGAAGCTGGGGGTAAGATCACCTGGGGTTCAAAATCTCTTCCATGAACCAGAACACCCCTTCCTTTCATCACCCTCTTTCACGATGGGAAAAAACTCCGTACTCACATCCGTGATCCGACAGAGCGCGCGAATCGCAGGGCCTCGATAAAGGTCTTCTTTCCCCGTCATATCTTTCGTTAGGCTAGAACAGACAAGGCAAGCCGGCGTTAACTGAGACATCAGGGGTCCTGGGGTTTATATACATACATACATACATACACACACACACACACACATATACACACATACATATATACATATATACTGTATTTCAGGAACCACAAACTGTGAGACCACCAGGAGGTTGTTAAAACCATTAAAAAGTTTTAATAAATTTTTTTAAAAATACCCAGGAGTCAACTTTCGGTTTTTAGGATTTTAAGCAATATATACTGTATATATAAATTTGTAAAATGGCTGTTTTCAGAAGTGGTTTGCTCTTGTTTCCTTCCTAGGGCTGGGAGAAAGTGACTGGCCCAAGGCCACCCAGTGGTTTTCCTTCTAAAGCGGGACTAGAACTCATTGTTTCCTGGTGACGGGCCCAAAGTCACCCAGCTGGTTTTTATGCATAAGATGGGACTAGAATTCCCAGTCTCCTGGTCACTGGCCCAAAGTCACCCAGCTGGTTTTCGTGCATAAGATGGGACTAGAATTCCCAGTCTCCTAGTGGCTGGCCCAAAGTCACCCAGCTGGTTTTTATGCATAAGATGGGACTAGAATTCCAAGTCTCCTGGTGGCTGGCCCAAAGTCACCCAGCTGGCTTTCACACCTAAGATGGGATGGGATCTCACCATCTCCTGGCAATTGGCCCAAAGACACTCAGCGGGGTTTCAAGTCTAAGGCGGCACTAGAACTCCTAGTGATTGGCCCAAAATCACCCAGCTGACTTTCGTATCTAACACGGGACTAGAACTCCCAGCCTCCTGGTGATTGGCCCAAAGTCCCCCAGCCGGCTTTCATTCCTAAGGTGAGACTAGAACTCACCCTCTCCTGGTGATTGGCAAAAGTCCCCCAGCCGACTTTCCTGCCTAAGGCAGAGCTAGAACTCACCGTCTCCCACTTTCTAGTCGGAGGCCTTAACCACTTAACCTCAAACTATCTCTCGTCAGCAGCCTGTTAGCTTAATTAAAGTATTAAAACAGAGGGACTTTTCTAAGACAAATGTGTCTGCTGAAGATTTGTAAAGGGCGCCCAGGAGACCGAGCGGTGATTGCAGCGCGCCTTATGCAGGATAATTGGTTCTCCAGGTGACGCCGGATGCGAGAAACAGGCTTGTTCCAACCGGCAGAAGATGATCCCTTGGGGGACCGAACCGATCCTGTAATGGGATCTAGAGGCTTCTGGGTGGAAAACAGAGTTGCCCCCCCTCCCAGATTCTTCCTCCCAGCGGAAATACCGACGCTTCTAGCCACGGAATCAACACAGGTACCTGCTGGTGACGATGATCACGTCCTCGGAAATGTTGGCCATCTCTTTGATGGTCAGGTAGCACATTCTCCGTAAGGTTTGCTGCGGAAAGACCCGGAATGAAAAGCTGAATTTTTCCAAGGGGTTGCTGACCTGCTGTGGTTTGATCCTGGTGGTCCACAAGACCTCCCTAAGGGCCTTAAGAGCGGGGTGGGGTGGGGAGGGTCCAATCACGACCGCTTTAAGACTTGTGGACTTCAGCTTGCTGGCTGGGGAATTCTGGGAGTTGAAGTCCACAAAGGAAGAACATTGCCAGCGGTCACCAAGCCAGGAAGAGGAAAACAAGGATCTTAGCGAAGATCCAATCTCTCAGGGGCTGCCCCAAAGAAGAGGGAGTCAAGCTATTCTCCAAAGCGCCTGAAGGCAGGACAAGAAGCAACGGATGGAAACTAATCAAGGAGAGAAGCA